CTCTATCCTCTTTACCCCTTAGCTGAAGGAGAGAAGCTACTTCTACACTCCGTGGAACCTGATTGGTTCAATGGTAAGTATTTGAAGTCACGGCCTTCTGCAAGTAGAGATTGGATTGATTGGGTAGATAGAGTTGAGAAGGCCAAGCGGGAGGTGTGGAAATCAGCTGATATATATGATGCCATTCAGTTGACAAAAAATGTTATCCCCGTGGACAAAAACCTTGTTTATGCTTCCTTGTGCTATTGGTCAATCTCCACAAACTCGTTCCACTTCAGATTTGGCATGATGGGGCCAACAGTACTAGATATTGTTGCCTTTACCGGACTTAGGCCACATGGCGAGGAAGTCAGTGCCATTCTTGGGATGGCTGGATCAACTTGTGATTTTACCAAGTATGGAAAAATTTATGATAATGCCTTATTATACCACAATTATCTCGACGTGTCAGAGGGAGAAATAGCTGTGACAGAGGAAGAACATATATCTTTTCTGTTTGCGTGGCTCTACGATCATCTGTTTTGTGACTCTTCTGTAAACATGATCAAGCAATGCACAAAACTGGCATTTGCTCTTGCTACGGGTAGAAAGCTTTCTTTGGCACCGTTTCTCTTGTCTAATTTATATCATGGATGCGCTGACATCATTAATGGCAAGTTTCAGTATGAAAGAGGTCCATTATGGATCTTGCAGTTCTGGCTACAGTCTTACTTTCCAGAATTTCGACCTGCGACCTTGGATTACGGTAATGCTCCAATCTGTGGGTTTCCCTTGGCTGAAGGTGCATTGAGATATAAATCATTCAAGGAATACTTTAATTTCTTTCGTAAATGCTCATCGAGAACAGCCAGCCAATTCACGCCATTTTATTCTAGGAAGTTTGGACCTAAGTGGTTTAAAAGGTCACTTGATCCTTACTTCCAAAAACTTAATAGGACAGAGTTAAAAGAGATTTGGGCTAGTTATCTTATTGCTCGAGACCTCCCGTACAGTATCCTTCTAGATGAATCCTCGAAGTGCAAATGTGGGGTAGAACATTATTCTCCGAATCAGTTTGCTCGACAGTTTGGCATGACTCAGGCTGTTCCCGTCCACCAATCAGCCAGTGATCTTTCAATCAGAAGAGAGGCAGATAACATTGAAGAAACTGAATCAAGGTTTTCCCAATTAAAAATAAAATTCTCATTTGTTCCATTTAATATTAATCCGAGCTCTACGATGTTCTTTGATTCCTGGTGGTCCACTTATATCAACAATCGGGACAAGACTGTTATTGGTGTCCTCAGGAAGATCTCAGTCCATCTGACACCCTGTGTTACGCCTCTCAGTCCATCTGACAGGCAAGAAGTTGCTGCTCCAAAGTCCATTGGTGTTAAAGGCAATTCTCAGTCTGCAGTAAAATTGGGACAGAGTATGAAGAGAAAATATAAAGGTAGGATAACTTTTTTCATGGAATAAACTAATACGATTTCTATTTGGCTGGTATATCCCTAGGGATAGAGGAATTACCAGAGGTATTTGAATTGTGTTGTAAATAGAGAAGGAAAATGTTGGTCAAGGAGGCTAAATAGATAAGTAACTATTTTGTTCTGATTGTATCCTTCATATGATAACCCAAGGGTCTCAATAAGGCTAGCATAATATTAGTTGACCTTTAGGGTTGAGGATTTTGTGCATATATATTTGAATTTATTAGATTTTCAGATAGCTTACAATGTTCTCTCTAATTCTTGTCCTGTTCTCTGTTTGGTTTCTGTTTCTGCGTTTTGATGTCTTGTATTACCTCCTTATTCATTCCTTAATTGCTTTCAGGGGATAGTATTCCACCACAATCTTTGGTACAGAAAGATGAGCCCTTACAACAAAAGAACTTACATGACGCGGGTATAAAGATACCTACGGGAACATTATGCAAGGTAAAAATTCCCACCCCCAAACGAGCTGCTGCCCTCTGGGATTATAATGCGATCCATTGGCCTGATTCCTTCACTTCACCGTAAATTCACCTTTTCAGAAGATGAAGACTTCCCCGAGGAAAATGCCACTACCAGGCACAACTCCTACCATACCTTCTACATCAGTCGTTCCTACTCCTGCTAATGAAGACAGGATTAAGACATCCGTCCAAGTTTCTGCTGATGATACACCAATCTCCACCTCGTGTTCCACTTCTGATGACGAAGTAAGTTCTCCGTATTACTTGTGTCATTATGTCTGATTACTCCATCTAACTTTGAGAGCTTTTTCTTTTAGGATGGTGAGGAAGGCACAGTTTCCCCATTATTAGCCAAGACCAGAAGCAAGACACCTGATATTACTGAACCACCTGACTGCCCTGTAAAATTTCATAATCTAGAAGACTTCTTTGCTCGAGTTAGTGGACAAATTAAACGAGCTCAATCTCGCAGTTTTTCTGCTGATCAATCTTCTTCCAAAGATGACAAGATATCCGCCACGCAAAAGCCTACACCGTCAGCAGAAATGCTTGCCACTGCGAAAGATGACATTGAGAGATTACTAGTCATGCCTTCTGAAGACTTGCTTCTACCCAAAAATTGTTCAACATTAAATGCAGCACTATCGACATATGCTGCAACACCGAATTTATCGGCTGAGAGAGTGCTTGCCTTGTGGAAATTCAAAGAGAACCTTCCGCAACTTTTCTTAACCTTGCGTAGAGCTAAGAAGGACCAAGAGGAGTATTATAAGGAGGCTGCCAAGAAAGTGCTCCTCGTCGATGAGCTCACAAAAGGTCAGGAATGCTACACCAACCTCAAAGATTGCAATGACAAGCTTGAATGTACAATCAGCAAGTCGAAGGCAAACTTGAAGGATACAAAGACAAAAAGAAAAGCAATCCAAGTGCAACTATTGAGTTTGGCTAAGAAGTGTTTTGAAAAGTCTACTGCTCTTGATGAAATGGAAGCTGACTTTCCTCTCCGGGAGGAGATGAAGAAGCTAGCTGATTCTGATGTTGCCCGAGTGGAAGAAAGTTTGAGAGGCTTCAAGAGTAAGATAATCGAGTGATCGCTTGCACAAACCATCCGTCATGTGAATTTGCTGGCTAGTGATCCACAGTTTAAGAGCATGTAAATATCTTTTTCGGGAAAGGGTCATTTGTGTATAAATATCTCTTTCGGAAAAGGTCATTTGTGTCCCTGTACTATTAATAATTAGTTATTAGTACCCTCCGTTATACTTTCCTACATTATTAATCCCTAACGTTATCTATTTTAATATTCTTACCCCCATCACTAGCGGACCCTTTTAGAGGGACACATGGCTTAATCTTAAACAACCTAACCATCTACCTAGTTGGATCCCTGACCCGTTCAGCCCCGACCCGCTAACCCCCTCCCCCCTTAAAGGATGTAATCGTTTATTTCCTCTCTAAAGCTAGGGTTATCCCCTATTTGAAGCGATTTTCCTCTGTTTTCTCTCATCATCTTTATTTTCTTTATTATTTTTGTGTATAATTTTCAAGAATAGGGAGTTACAATGTCAGAAGGTAGTTCATCGTCTCAAGAATGTGTGTCGAGTAGGACATGCAAATGTGGATTAACTGCACTCTACCTCATGGCTTACACTCCTTGGAATGCTGGTAGAAGATTCTACAAATGTCCAAAACTTGAGGTTAATATCTTATATTCTATGGTTTTATGATAATTTTATGGTTTTCATTTTCTGAAATTTCACTTATAACATGGTGTATGATTTTGTTTTTCAGAAAAATTCGTGTGGTTATTTTGAATGGGTTGATGAAGTGTTACTGGACAGAGCTATGATAATTATTTGTAAGTTGAAAGCGCAACTGGAGGCTGTCAAGATTGAAAGGCTGAAATTGAAGGAATAATTGGAAGCATTAGAAGCAATAAATGAGGTTGAATGCACCAAAACAAGCAATTTGGAGTCTTCATTGGATGCGATTTATCTGGAAAGAGACATATTGAAGGAAAAAATTGAAGAAATGGAGGCTGCAATTCGCTGTTGGAAGCCAAAGTCTTGAAGTTGAAGATCTTTACTATGATATCTTGAGTCCTATTTGTTGGCTTAATTGCAGCTTGTATGATGAATAGTTATTAGTAGTAGTTGGTGAAATCTAGTTTTTATTTTGTTAAGTTATCATGTATGGTTAACTTAAGTGGCAGTAGTGTAGTGTGTATTTTTTTGTTGGCTAATTGGATTTCTACTTTCCGGATTATATATGTTAATTGCTCTTTGTGTTCACCTATTTTTGTTGGTTAATATGATTTGAGCTTCATGAACTTGTTCCGATATAGAAATGAGTCACACATGTTAACTGCTACTCAAACTACATAAATGAACTTGTGCTTATTCAAATAAAACTACACTACCAATCATATAAGTTGCAATAAGAAAAGAAACTAAAATAGTCTAAATTACCATTACATTTGTAGCAAAAGTTAACTGTCAATATACAGTTAAATTGACACACGGATGCCATATTAACCCCAAAACAAGTTAACACCTAGGTCATACTATGACATCCAACTGTCAGTACCAACAAAGCATTTAAAACTAGAGTTAAATGTACTGTCAGAAGTCATAAATTACAGCCCCAAACCAATTTGTTTAGACAAAATACTATTACTTCAAAAACATATTGTCCAGCAATGTTTCAATTCCCCTTTTTTGCCTTAAGCTTCCTAATCTTCTCATGCGCTTGCATCTCCAGTTTGTTAGTAGTTAGAGATTCTTTCCCCTTCCATGCGAGTCCTTTAAGTGAGTATGACAGAATTGAGGGCTGACTCACACCAGTTGAATCACCTCTTAAGCTGATGACTCTTGTTCCATCTGTAATGTTGGGTTCCTGTATCATTTGAAGCCTTGTCCCCATATCTGATGTAACTTTTGGCCTTAAAGCAGGGTCTTCCTCATATGGAATAACTGGAAAAGAACATGTGGAACTAACAGATTTCTAGAGCCTTTTTAGGTAAGAAAAAATTGGTGTAGGAATGAACATAAAAGGATTGCTGGAGCCTACACTAGCTTGAGATTGTTCAGGCCCTAACAAAGGTATGTCTTCATCAATATCTTCATAGTTTTCAGTTGTCTTCCTTTTCTGTGGTAGAGTTCCATTAGATGGCTGTCATTTGTAAATGAGACATTGCTAATAATGTAGATATCACTTGTTAAAGACTAATTATAGTAACAATTACCTTCTTACACCCCCGTGAGTTGTGGTTTGGCTCTCCACAGTTTCTCCAGTTCATAACCCTTCCTTTCCTTGACATAGACCATTCATTTTGTTTCTTAATTGCTTCATCCTTTTGCCTTGTTCTCTTCACCTTAGGTCTACCAGCTAACTCCACTATCTGTGGTGGTTCCATTGCATCTACAAGGATTGCCTTCCAAAATTTTTCTCCCCTAACAGGTAGTATCTTGTGCGAATAAGTCTTTAATGTTGCCTCTTTGCTATACCACCAATGTATTTCCTTTAAAGGATCAAGGCCTCTGTACACAAATTCCCTAATGGCATGAGGACATGGTATTCCAGACAGTTGTCAAGCCCTACAACTGCACTGCTTCAAGACCATGTTTACTGTATGTTTATCAGGCCCTTCAGATATTTCATAGACCTAGTCACCATTAAAGTGAACCTTGCATTTATGCTCAATCCTCAAATAACCTTCATAAAGTTTCATGACATAAGGACTAAAGTTAGTAGTCCATGACTTCACTTTGTCCTCATGTTCTCTCAATATTTCCATCACCTTCACCCTAATGTCCTCTAGCATCTTAATTATAGGTTTGTACCTTGCATCCAGGATCCATGCATTGAATGATTCTGTAAAGTTTGTTATCCACAGACATATTCTTGCATACAATGTCAAAAATGCTATACACTGTGACTGGGGAGGGTATGCAACAAATCTTTCACTATATTTTCATCCATCTCCCCTATCTTCTTCAATTGATCATCAAAATCCTCCTCATATGTGCACCATGCACTCCGCCACAACAGCTTTTTCATTTTCCAAGATCTCCATCTTTTACACTAATTAGCCTCAATGTGTCTGACACTATAACTATGATTAGCATCAGGCAAAACAGTTTTCATTGCCTCAACCAACCCCTACAAATCATAAGAAACACAATATTAGTTTAAAGAACCAATCACAAGTTTAAAGAAACATATATAACTATAAAAGAATTTCCATCTTGAGCTCCAGTGACCTCTTTAGCATTTCCAAAAATCAGTCCCAAGTTCTCTTTATTTTTTTGTCCAATATAGCCCAAGCTATAAGGTAGAAATGATTCATTGAGTCAAGACCAACAACAACCAAAAGCTGACCCTTAGCTTTTCCCTTCAGAAATATCCCATCCAATTCAATGAAATGTCTCATACCTTCCTTAAAACCCCTTTTCAAAGCATGAAAGCAAATATACATTCTTAAGAACCTCCTCTTACCTTCAAGAAGAGCATCTTTTGACAAATTAATTATTATATCACTTCCAGGGTTACTAATCTTCAATTCATTAACATAGCCCTCTAGCTTGTTGTACTCATCTTTAAAGCTTCCTTGTAGCTTATTCAAAATAAGTATATTCTCTCTTGCATTTTCCATGGCTTGCATTAAGCTCAAATGCAGCTCTCAAATCAGCCCTCATCTCTTTTACTTTATATTTTGGATTGTCTTGCAACTTCCTCTTAAAATAATGTGCAATAGTGAAGTAGTCAACAATACTATTATCATAAGCAATGAAACAATTATGATTTGGATTTAGTGTATTGACTCTAACCCCTGGACAATCCCCATCCTTAAAAATTAGGCAAACAAATGGACAACCTACTTGACAGTCATACCTAAGCCTTCTTGTATCACTCTTCTTAAGCACTATCTCTTTCTTATTTGCCATAACATACAGTTTCAGACACTTCCTAGCTTCAGAAATATCCTTAAAGCTCATATTTTTATCTAGTTCTTTGCAATCCAGCAGCTGCTTAGTTATACTCATACTCCTCTGAGTTGAAATAAAATCTAATTCATCAGAATCATACTCTGAAGAATCAGAGTCAGATTCATTATCAAACTCATCATCTGTTGAGCTACAATCAGTTGCAGCCTCATGGTCAAGTGCAACATCATCACCTCCATCCTCACCATAATGTAAAATATCAGGTACATTCACTGCCAACTCACAATCCTCTACAGTAAATATATCAACAACATTGTAATCACTACAAACCATTCCCAACAGTTTCCTAATACTACTATCCCTATCAATTTCATAGTATCTACCAGAAGGAGTAGATACAATAACTTGTTGAACCCCACCAAAGCATAACTTAGTGCAAAACTCATTAATAATATAAAGGATAGATGGTCAGAGTCATAACCTTTTCAGGTGTGTAACAACTTCTTAGTGTATTTGACTTGTGACTCTCTACTCCATTCTCCACCATAGTTAAATATCAAGTCCAAATCAACCATAGTAATCTGCAATCAATTGACATATTTAACAATTAGCAGCTAAACCATAAAATAAACTAAACAACAACTTAACTAATTGATATTATAAAATACAGCTGGAAAGAAACTAATAAAAAAATAGTAAAGAAACATTCAAAGAAACTAATAAAAAAAGTAAAATAACATCTCTAGACAAAGGGACAGAGCATGGTTTAATTCCCTAAATGACAAAGTACATAAAGACAATCTGGACCACCAAATCAGCCTTTATGATAATACAACCACATGAAATACAATAACTAATAAAGTTAAAGCCTTTAAGACAAAATGAACTATTATACTATACATCCGGGACCACCATCACATGCATATGCAAATATAATAATCCATAAAGTTAAATCCATGTTTAAAACCCCAAATCTGCTTAAAATGTTATACTTTGCAGTGAAAATCATATAAAAATAGGACTCATACACGAAACCCCAACTAAATGACAAAATTTGCTAACCCTAGATATTTTAATCACTGAAACCAAACATTGAAAAACTAAGTTTTAATCAACTGAAAAAAATCTTAAGGCTAAGCTTTTACTATGGTAGAAGAATTAATTTACCTTTAGACCATGAAAATTGGTAGATTGTAATCGGAGTTAAGAGTGAGAAACGCCTGATTTTTAGGTAAGTGAGGTTAGAGTTTTTTAACGTTTATACGGGTCTAGGGAATATGAAGGGAGTTAGCGGGTCGGGGATGAACGGGTCAGGAATCCAACTGGGCAGATGGTTAGGTTGTTTAAGACTAAGCCATGTGTCCCTCTAAAAGGGTCTGTTAGTGATGGGGGTAAGAATATTAAAATAGATAACGTTAGGGATTAATAATGTAGGAAAGTATAACAGAGGTTACTAATAACTAATTATTAATAGTACGGGGACACAAATGATCATTTTTCGTATCTTTTTGCTACGTACAAACTTTTCTCTATTTTGAATGGCATCCCTAAGTATAGCCAAGTTAGTCCAAACATGTAAAGTGAAAGGAGGAAGTGTACTTCTCGTTATGGTTTCCGATAGGGGTATCAATTTGAGCCCAAACCTATTTGACCCCTCCAACCAGTCCAAGGTCTCTATTAGCTTAACTACAACATAGTATAATGCTTTACTGTCGAACATATGTAGTCAATATCAAATTTACAATGACTGAAATAGATTCTCTAATGTAAAACAAAGTCTTATCCTATTTTCCTCTCTTTTGTTTCGCTGTTCTTTCTTCTAGTTCTACACTTTAATTGACCCCGAATCATTTCGAGCTTATGATCCAGCGACCGATCAACATTGAACCTAAATTATTTTAAGGGTCCGAGTCAGAATTGAGCTCGAGCCAAGATCGAGAGCTCGAGTCAAGATCGAAAACTCGAGTCAATATCGAGCTCGTAGACAAGAGCCGTTGCAATCCCACTAGAGGAGAGAATCTCGGTAGGAATTGTGAAAAAGTTGACCTATTATGGGTCTCCCATTATGTATTTTTAATTATATCTAAAGTAAGATCCCTCTACTATAAAAGGGATGGTTATCATTTCTATAGGGGACAAGATTCATGCTTACATTGTAATCCAAATACCAGATTCTCCATAGTGAAGAGTTGTTCTTTCAAGCTTCTTAAATTGATTCCACTTGTTTAGTCCTAAATTTTATTTTCTTTGCAACCTTATCTATTTAGCATTCTTTGCGATCCATATTGGGTATTTCTATTTATCTCTATGATTTGTATTAAGTTACACCGCATATCCTTAGAACTACGTATAAATTTAATTCTATCCGTTTTTCGGGTAAATAAAGCTCGCAAAACCAACTGCTTCCTGGTAGTTACTAAAGGCTTTAGAAAGCGACACAACTGCTCTTGTTGGATTGGCTGCGAAGTAAATTCTAGTGCTAGTAGTGCATGATTAGTAGTTATGGTGGGAGTATAATGTTGGTGCAACACTAACCTTTTTTTTGCTAACTCAGAAATCTCCGAGGGCCACTGGCACACAGTACGTTCGAAAATCGGTAGATAATGTGCCCACTCTTCTATTCTTCTCTACTTAAATAACAAGCCTTTATTTGCGACTCGTGACATGTGCCTAATCCACACATCAAAAGCAGAACAATATTATCTCATCGACTCTTCACGGAGTTTTTTATTACATCGACTTCTTCACGGAGTTTTCCGATCATCTCGATTTTTCACTGCAGTTGTGAGACCGAAATAATAGCCATCGTTCTGGTATCAAGCCCAAAGACTTTTAAAAGCATTATTACCTGCTCGTGGAAATCGATCTGATCTTGGTGAGCCCTGGTCAACTCAGCTCGGAGGTTTTTTATTTACTCCCTCCTTTGGCCCAAAAGGAGCTTTAAGGAGTTCCTCTCCCCTGTAACCCGTTGAAGCTCGGTCTCGTATTGACGCAACTCGGTTCGAGATCGAGAACATGATTCTCGATGAACCTCCGCGGCCTGCAAAAAAGAAGAATTGAAAAGCAAACTTAAAGGTAACGCCATATGATTTAAGGCCTACTTGATTCAAAGTCTGCTGCACTCCGTGAAAAGGATCTGATGCGTCACTTGTACCGGCAGTGTCTTCGACGCCGATGAACAGGTCACGAAAAGGATCCTCTCCATTATGAGGCATATCTAATTCAAGGGCCTCCAAAGCTTGGGCCTCCCGAATCGCCCCTGCGAAAAAACAGGGAAGGTGGGAGAGCCTTCGATTGCCACTGCCCCAAATGAGTCATATGGGGCATTCTCTTCGATTCGAAAAGATTCGGGAAGAGCCCATTCAGAAATATCCCCCATCCGTCAGCTTAGATGGGAAACATCTTCAATTTCCAGCAACTCGGGGACTCTACCCGAATCTCTCTCCGATATATCCTCAATTAGAGGCAAATCCTTATGAACCACCATCGATCCAGCTTCCTGTGGAATGTCGGTGGTCTTCTTTGTTCGGGCCGCTAGAGCAGACCCATCGTTCTCTTCTTCTTCTTTATCCCTCAGACGCAGAACTGATTCTACGGTCAAAGGAATGACATTCTTGTTCGGTTTACGAGCCGTCCTCTTCTTCGGTTTTTGATCTTTGAGGGCGGGGGCTCTTTTCCTCTTATTATCTTTTATCGGCTTTGGGACAGAGGCCGAAGCCTCTTCCTCGGCAGATAATGGCCTTAAAACCGCATCCTTTCTCACACCTGCATACGAAAGTTTTTTATCGAAGAATGTGAAAGGCATCTTATTCGAATTACCAAGGAATATGAGAGAAATGCTCACCGCGATTTTTGGCCTCCCATTAGCCCTTTGACAAGTAGTGCCATGAGCGCTCGACATATGAGGAGGTCAAAACCAGATCACGTACCCAATTCTTGAGATCGGACACTGCACCGGGCATCCAGGGAACCGCTGTGTCATAAAAAGNGAGATCGGACACTACACTGGGCATCTAGGGAACCGCTGTGTCATAAAAAAGGATATTGGTAAGAAAAGAAATGAAAGAACAACATAATGGAAGATAACAGCAGAATTACACTTACGCTTCATGTTCCACTCCTCGGGGAAAGGCATCTTTTCGGTTGGGATCAGGTCTGAAGTCCTCACTCGAACGAACCGACCCATCTAGCCTCGATCTCTATCCTCGTCTATACTCGAGAACAGAGCCTTGGTAGATCGACGTTGGAGTTTTATTAACCCTCTTCGAAAAAGACGAGGACGGTATAATCAGATAAGATAATCGAGAGTGAAAGGCATCCCCTCGATTTTACTTACAAAATATCAGATCAAAATAACGATCCGCCAAAAGGAAGGATGCATCTGGCCTAGGGTTATTAGGTATTTATGACAAAAATCTATGATAATAGGGTCGAGGGGACCTAACGTGAAAGGGTAAGTATACACGCTTAAAAACTCTCTCACGTGAGTAGTAATATCCTCTTCAGGAGACGACACTACCACCTCTTTGTTCTCCCAGTTACAATCCTTTTTATCCGCTCGATATGCTCCCGGGTTATCGAACAAATATATCTCGATACGGGCTCACATCGGCCAGGAACCGGTGAACCTTTATCAAGATTGAAATCTGAGGTAAGAACACACGCCGCCGAAATGCACTCCTAAGGACGAGGATCCACCGGTGTTTTATCTGCGGCAGATTGGGAAGAAGAAGCTTTTTATTTTTGGGGGACGGTTTGGACGTCTTCACTATCTTGGATTTAAAGAAGGTAGCGAAGATTTGGTAATTTGGAAGAAGAATTTTGCAAAAAGGAATCACTGATTTGCGAATAGACTCAGAGAATACGAAATAGAAATTAGGAAATTTGGAAGATTGAAATTGCAAAAGTGATAAATGATAATAGGAAGGGTTATTTATAGGTTTAAGAAAACGACAGTTCAGTATCAGCGGTGGCCGACCACCGTCTGACATGCATTAAATACCTTGAAAAACTAAATCGACGGGACAACTATCACATGCGTTATGGTCGAGCCCAATATAAACGTCATCTTGTAATCTGATCAAGCCGTTAAAAAGTCAAATCATTTCTCACCACATTCTTTCTGAGAAACGAGGGGACTATCTGTATGCGGTCGAAATAGATTTCGGCCTTCGTACGATCGATCGAGTTCGAGACATAATCGATCGAAGCGAGACTTCGAGATGGGTTACAAAGATGATACAAACAAGCTTCGATTCCGAGGGGATGATATCATTATCGATCCCGAATCCAAATCAAACTATGATGCAAAGTGAAGTTATCGAGCTTTTGATCCAGAGATCGACCAACATTGACCCCGAATCATTTTAAGGGTCCAAGTCAGAATCGAGCTCGAGCCAAGATCGAGAGCTCGAGTCAAGATCGTAAACTCGAGTCAATATCGAGCTCGTAGACAAGA